CTTTATTATAAAGCATGATATAAACTACATCAACCTTACCCCTGATATATAACAATATACCCCATAATGGCTAGAGGAACCCCCGCCGCCTCCTCTCCCACGACTGCGACGCCGCCCACCGGAGCCTTGAAACGTTCCACGTCCAGCACCCAGAACATGAAAAACCAAAAGTCAATTCTTGGGTTCTTTCAAAAGTCGTCTCCATCCACACCGTCCACTGCTCGTAATGCGGAGCCTGCTTCTTCTCCGGCGGAGAGGGTCTCGGAGCAGCGACGCGGAGGTGCGAAGGGCGCGGCGGAACGGAAGAAGAGCGTTCCCAAGTTCAAGCAGGAATTGGAGCCGGTGCCTAGTAGTGACCTAGTGATTCCGGAGGAGGATGAGCAGAATGATAATGCACAGGTGCGATTTGCAGACAGCGGTGTGTTATCGGTATTGACGACTAACACATGTTGCTGCAGGAGAGTCCGAATGGCAAAGCCGAGATGAAGACGGCATCTCCATCACGGCGGGTATGGATCCAAACCCTGGCATTTATTGAATCCAAATGTGCTGACACCTTATTCTTCCAGGCCAAAAAGCAGGTCAATTACGTCGAATCCGACTCCGAAGGCGAAGATGACGACGAGAAGATATTCCGCCCAAGTCGCAACAGCAGGAACAAGCGAAGGAAGATGTCTCCTGAAAGTGATGATGAATTCAATGATGGCGGAGATGTGGGCTACTCCGACGATGGTCAGTTTCCGTTCCCACATCTTTGCATGCTATTCTGACTGGTTTTAGAAATGGACGACTTCATTGTTGCAGACGATTCAGACGAAGAAGCGAAACCATCCAAGAAGCGCAAGAGACCGTCGACCCAACCAAAGACCAAGTCCTCCTCTTTACCACCTGTATCACCTGATGAGGATTTGGATCTTGACATACCAGACGCATCTGCCGGTACCGCTCTCAAGTGGACATACGACCCAGAAAGCTCCGAGCCACGCCAGCCTCGCACAGCACCGGTTACTCCAAAGAAATCATCGGGAACCACGAAGCAGAAAGCACATGTGACGGAGCCTGAACAACGGTATGCCTGGCTTGCAAATATCCGAGACATTGACGGGAATCCTATCGGCCACCCTGAGTATGACCCTCGCACTTTATATATCCCCCCATTGGCTTGGACCAAGTTCTCTCCATTCGAGAAGCAATACTGGGAGATCAAGCAGAAATTCTGGGATACTGTTGTCTTCTTCAAGAAGGGCAAGTTCTACGAGCTTTATGAGAATGATGCTACCATTGGACATCAATTGTTCGATCTGAAGCTTACTGACCGCGTGAACATGCGCATGGTTGGTGTTCCTGAGATGAGTTTGGATCACTGGGCCAACCAATTCGTGGCCAAGGGATTCAAGATCGCTCGTGTTGACCAAATTGAGTCAGCCTTGGGCAAGGAGATGCGCGAACGTGATGGTAAGAAGGGAGGAGGTAAAGAAGACAAAGTCATTAGAAGAGAATTGTCGTCAGTTCTCACGGCTGGTACCCTTGTGGAAGGCTCCATGCTGCAGGATGACATGTCTACGTACTGTGTTGCTATCAAAGAGGCTCTCATCGATGACAAGCCTGCCTTTGGTATCGCTTTTGTCGACACAGCAACCGGCCAATTTTTCCTGTCCGAATTCGTGGACGATGTCGACATGACAAAGTTTGAAACTTTTGTCGCGCAAACCCGACCACAGGAGCTTCTTTTGGAAAAGTCTGCAGTGTCCCAGAAGGCTTTGCGCATCTTGAAGAATAACACTGGCCCGACTACGCTCTGGAATTATTTGAAGCCGGTGAAAGAGTTCTGGGAGGCTGACATTACGGTGAAGGAGCTCGATGCGAGCGAGTATTTCGTCTCGCAGGACGATGATAACTTGCAAGCTTGGCCTGAGGCACTCAGAGAAGCTCGCGACAAAGAATTGGTCATGTCCGCATTCGGTGCTTTGGTGCAGTACCTCCGCCTCCTGAAGATCGACCGTGACTTGATCACCATTGGTAACTTCACTGCGTACGATCCGATCAAGAAGGCCACCAGCCTGGTGCTGGATGGTCAAACTCTGATCAACATGGAGATATTCTCCAACTCTTTCGATGGCGGCTCTGAGGGCACCTTGTTCCAGCTTTTGAACCGCTGTATCACACCATTTGGTAAGCGGATGTTCAAGCAGTGGGTATGCCATCCGCTTGTGGATGCAAATAAGATCAATGCTCGTTTGGATGCCGTGGATGCCCTCAATGCTGATCCCACTGTCCGGGACCAATTTTCGTCCCAGCTGACCAAGATGCCCGATTTGGAGCGGCTCATCTCTCGTGTCCATGCTGCGAGTTGCAAAGCCCAGGACTTCTTGCGTGTCTTGGAAGGCTTTGAGCAGATTGAGTACACCATGAGTTTGCTCAAGGAGAGTGGCTCAGCAGGAGAAGGTGTCATTGGGCAGTTGATCAGCGGAATGCCTGACCTTAATGACCTGCTCGAGTACTGGAAGACTGCTTTTGATCGTTCCAAGGCGAGGGAGAACGGCATCTTGGTACCGAAGCCCGGTGTTGAGGAAGACTTTGACAGCTCCCAGGAGAACATTGAGCAAATCCACCGCGACCTCGAGAGCCTCCTGAAGCGTGTACGCAAAGAGCTAGGATCTTCCGCTATTATCTACAAGGACAATGGCAAAGAGATCTACCAATTAGAGGTGCCGATCAAAGTCAAGAACATCCCAAAGAACTGGGACCAAATGTCTGCTACGAAACAAGTCAAGCGCTACTACTTCCCGGAGTTGCGCAAGCTCATACGTCAGTTGCAGGAAGCCCAAGAAACCCACAGTCAGATCGTCAAGGAAGTCGCTGGCCGATTCTATGCCCGATTTGACGAAAGCTACACCACCTGGCTTGCTGCCGTCCGCATTGTAGCCCAGCTTGACTGTCTCATCAGTTTAGCCAAGGCCTCATCCTCTCTCGGCCAGCCCAGCTGCCGGCCCGTCTTCGTGGACGACGAGCGAAGCGTTCTCGAGTTCGAGGAGTTGCGCCATCCGTGCCTGATCTCCTCAGTGGGTGACTTCATCCCTAACGACGTCCAGCTCGGAGGCACACATGCGAACATTGACCTCCTCACCGGAGCCAACGCAGCCGGAAAGTCCACCGTCCTCCGAATGGTGAGCCAGCCCTTTCTCTTCCATCTTGAGAAGACCTAGACTAACCCTGGAATCTCTAGACCTGCGTTGCCGTAATCATGGCCCAAATCGGTTGCTACCTCCCCTGCCAATCCGCACGTCTCACTCCAGTGGACCGAATCATGTCCCGTCTAGGCGCAAACGACAACATCTTCGCAGCTCAATCGACGTTCTTCGTCGAGCTCTCCGAGACCAAGAAGATTCTGTCTGAAGCCACACCCCGTTCGCTCGTCATCCTCGACGAACTGGGTCGCGGTACCAGCTCCTACGACGGTGTGGCAGTCGCCCAAGCCGTCCTGCACCACGTCGCCACGCATATCGGCGCCCTCGGCTTCTTCGCAACCCACTACCACTCCCTAGCTGCTGAATTTGAGGGACACCCTGAAATCGCACCGAAGCGTATGCGCATCCACGTTGACGATGAGGAACGCCGCGTCACGTTTTTGTATAAGCTTGAGGATGGCGTTGCAGAGGGTAGTTTCGGTATGCACTGTGCGGCGATGTGTGGCATTCCGGATAAGGTTATTGAGCGGGCCGAGGTGGCTGCTAAGCAGTGGGAGCATACGAGTCGGTTGAAGGAGAGTTTGGAGAGGAGGAAGGGAGGTGGATTGGTGGGGATGGGATGGTGGAGTGATGTTGCTTGGGCGTTGAGGGACACGATGGCTGAGAGTGAGGAGGGTGCTCAGGAGGTGAGTGATCGCAGTTTGGAGGTACTGAGGAAGGCGATTGAGGCTTTGTAAGGGGGTTCGGGGCTTCTTTCGGGTTATTGAAGGACCTACATGCTTACATAGATGTTGTCTTCTGTTTTTGTTATTCTTATGAGTAAGGACCGGGTGTTAGGATTAGGGATATGTTTCGAAAAGTGAGGATATAATTGGGATTTAGTTGTTAATCTGAGGTATTGAGATCGGATACGTGTCACAAAACCAATATCCAAAGGCTGCGTATGTAGATAGTACTCTTTTGACAGTTATTTCTAGATACTGCCGGCTTTCGCCTATCACTAATTAGTACCAGTGAATTGGGAAAGTTGAAGGTGGAAATTAATATCGATATAATCCTTCCAAGGAACCATGACTGCTCGTGATGATGAATACCCATGTTCCTTCCCTTTGAAGAGAGATACCCATCCAACCCAAGACCGGAAATACACTAGGAAAAAGAACGATACCCAAGGTTATTCAATTATTCCATTGTCCTACATCTGGATGCCTTTGAAAGTGGAAAACCCATGCGGGAGATGAGTCCAGCTGGAGGGAAAACGAACCCAACAACTGTCTGCCTCGATTCTGAAGTAACCCTGAAGATAGATAGAAAGGAAAGAAGACAAATGTCTTTTATTTCGAAGCCGCCTCACATCTAAGCACAACTGCTGGTCATTGCTAACACCCCTCTGTTGGAACTGCAGATCATAGTCAGCCTTCACAGCCCATATATCATGCACACCTATGTTACTACCTTCATCAGTATATTTTTGAAGGTATAGTATGTCTTGCCATCCTCCTCAAGAGCCGCTTCCCTTCTGGAATATGGTCCCAGAGTCTTTCAGACAACAGATTTTTGCTGACTGATTGACAGCGATGTATTGGTTTATCGGAGTGTGCTCAATCGTGTTCCCCTGATGATACCTTAACACCGAAAAAATTGACAATCGTGTCTCTTTGTTTATCAAAGGAAACCACAACAGAAGGACAGAAGCAGAGAGCAGGCGGAGTTGAGCCAAAATCGAGACACAGATACTCGATCGACAGTTGAAATGGGGTAATAGCCTTCAAAAAGAAAACATATCGAAGGTACCGGCATTAGAACAAGTACTCATTCACGCCGAGGCCTCTTCAAAAGAGGGGAATCCAGAGCGTTTATTTCAGCACGCCACAATGCAGCGCGAAGCTTAGGATCTTTCTCAACTGCTCCATTGCGAAGGGTTTCGAGGCGCAACTTGAAAACTTCCAAAAAGAATTCCAGGTCCTCAACAGCATCAGCGACAGATTCGTCGCTCTGCCATTGGGCCAGAGTCACCGGCCAGCGTAGAACTTTGCCATCTGGCATTCCAGTCTTCCGGATTTTGGCTAGAGCCTTTTCGAGAGGGGCGGGGATAGATGTCAGGTCGATAACCGAACCGTGACGGCGCTGGACTTCATCTAGAGGAGCCGTATTCGAATCGGTTCCTCCTCCGGTCTCTCCCTCTTGCGCTTCTATAGCAGTGTAGGGTTCGATATGGAGCTGTTCTTCAAATTCATTCGTTGTGTTTCCTCGAAGGGCCATGATCCGGTCTCTTATCTCCCGCTCCATCAGGCCAACAGTGACACTGCTGGATGTTTCAATGGTATCAGATGATTCATGTCCATCTATATGAGCCTCTTGAACAGGGCGTCCGTTCGTGTTGTTTGGCATCGCTTTGGTCTGATGGCGATTATGTAGGAAAATGTGCGATTTCAACAGACGATGGCGGTTGCAGGACTTCAAATTGTTGGTCCGCGGATGTTCTTTTCAAGATTTGATTGGATGATTCCACGTCAAAGGCTTGTGATGAGCTGAATGTATGATAAGTAAGGTGCTTCTATGATAACAGGGGCTTGCTCTTGTCACTTATCTGGGATGCCAACCGGTCTAACAGTCAAGATCTGCTGTGCAGAAAGGGTGACGATGAAGAGGAAGAAAGCAAACTACATGACTGATACTTATAGCTGACCCCCCGGTGCTAGGAGCCCTTCACACGTACAAATGAACGACTAATCGATCTATCACCAGGGCGATATTCACATTTACTGTCAAGGAAAGGCTTTGACGAGCAGATTCTCCTGTGCAGCTTCTCACTTCTTCCTCACAACCTTCCTCTCTCTCTCGAAAGTTGTATTCATTTCTGATCACAAATACCTCCTCTGATAGCATGTTATCCATATTATATCATGGACGAGGATATTGAGGCTGTTGATGCACGTTTCAAGATTATATCTGAGAATCTGCGTCTGGCTATGTGCGCCGCTCCCGAACTTGACATGGCGTTTGAACCAGAGCGTGCAGGCAGGAGCAAGTCAGTCACCATGATCCCAACCGTCCCAGCTGAATCTCCTGGTGAGCCAACCTGTGAACCAACGTTCTCTGTGCTACAATTGGCAGGGGCTCAATCCTCTACAGAAAACCCTCAACGACGTCCCCAGGAAGTATTCGATTTCACTCCGGATCACCTTGATGTGCTTCAAAGCGATCTCGCGGAGCTTCGAGCTTCGCTCGCAGCCGGCGGTTCAGTTGCGCGTTCTTCCGATGAAATCGAAATGTTGAAGCAACTGGTCAAGAAATTGCAGGAAGATTGTCTTCGCGCCCAAGAGGATCGGGTATCCGCTTTGTTGGAGTGTGCGAAACTGCAGAAGGAGCGCAACGACGTATCCCGTGATGCGATTGGGAAGATTGAGGCACTCCGAAAAGAGAATAGAAGGTTGAAATTGGACCTTGCCAATTTAAAACACAAGCAAGATAAAGAGGTGGAAAAGGGCAACAAAAACCGGGTTGGCAAGGAGGGTAGGTCCAAGAAACGCGTACGTTTCGAACTAGATACCTGTCCGGAAGAACCAAAAGCACAACAACCTTCGTTGGACCTGGAGAAAACTCGTGATCCCAGACTTGCACGCCCATTGGCAAGGCCGCCGATAAACCGCTCTCCCCTAATTTGGGATCCAGATAACGGCCCACAGGAGCCGTCACCAGCACGATACTCGTCGCCCCAAATATGACCGCAGCGGCCTTCGAAGGGCGCCAATCAATCATGACCCCGAAAGTCGGACAAGGATCCATATCACCACTTGAATGAATCTGTGTATATGTGTGCCTTAGTGATATGCGCGACTTTGATTGAGCTTGGTATGGGTCTCGTCCAGGGAGCATGCGTGTGGACATTTTCGGGAGGCGAACTGGTTTTCTGCACTATACACCAGCCCCCGTAGCGTATCATGTTATTTATGATGATGTAGCTAGCTGCGACCTAGGAAAGAAAGAAATAAAAAAAAGAAAAGGGAATAACCCCCAAATTGCATTTTTTTTTATTGAACCTCCGATACTAGGCCCTAGGGTATTAATGATGAGGCATATTGAGAAAGCCGGACTGTGGGAGCAGAAAATGGTATATATTCGAGACAGTATGATACTTCTTCTGATATAGCAGTAGTAGCTACTTGAAGTAAACGCCAATGTCTAACACATCCAACTATATATAGTCTTGGGAATTTGTAACACTAACAACCTGATGGATTCCGCCAAGGAGCAGATATACTGTTTACTGTACATGGTTGATCCATCTTAGCAAGCGAAAATGTAGTGGAAATATTGATTTCTGACATGTAGATTTCTCACATGCCAAAAATAACCATGTACATTCAACATACTTTGCTCCATTCGTAAATGCAATCATAAAGAATACACAAAGTACCTAGAATCTCCCATTGTCGAGTAGAAGGCGAATAAAGACCCAGCTCTCCATTAAGGATACAAGAAATCATGTCGAACAAGCCCAGCAATTGTAAATATAAACATCAGCCCGACCAGACCTAATAACACTGCTACTATTCCTCTGTACCCTGACTTACAAACCCGCTCATCTCATCCTCTTTCCAGCTTCCCTTCTCCAATGTTTCCGCCCCGTGGCTCAGCATTGTATGAGGCGTAACGTGCCAGTGTAGCACGAGCCCTTTGAACACACTCTGATACAATCCGGAGTCCTGATCGGCGGTAATGAAGTTCCAAGTCCTCCAGAAAGGCCGCCTGGTAGTGATTGGATCAAAGGTGATCCCGCAGATGCCCTGCCCTGCGACGGGATCGTGTGGAGCAGGACGTAACAATCTCATATTTGGTGTTGGTCAAAGCTCCCAGACAAACCCAAACCCCCGCGGGTAAAATTGAGTGTTGAACTGATAGCCTCGGAAACTCTGCATCATGAAACCATTCGACCTGGTTGGTCGGCTCATAACTTGGCGGATGATCCCGAGCTCCGCAAAATAAACTCCCGCGATGATGTGCGAACCAAAAATTCAGGACCGCGGGCAGTACTATATTGAAGCAAAAGGTTAAATTATAATTAAAGATCGACATAGTGTATGATCCTCGTGAACACCCCCGTGGGACAGGGTCCTGTATTAACAGTTAGAGTTCGACTAAGCAAACGGAAACGCTCCAAAACACCCGCTTTTTGGGTCTCTGCTTCAACTTCCCCGGAAATTCAGCCATTTTCTAACCGTTCGTGATCCAGTCCCTGTAAATCACTGACAATTCAGGGGTTTGCACATCGTCATTTGCTGGGGGTTGACCTACTATTCAGGTTTTGCCAGCAAGAATGTATCATCATGGTGTCGTGCTTTTGCCAGTTTGGGAACTTACCCTCTCCACGAAGGCATAGCCAGAGAGCTATATAAAGTCGCTCAATTGTCCTTCAATCATCCCCACCATCATCATCAGCAATCAGCAAACATAACTCTACTACAAATTCTCAATTCAATTCAAATACCCATATCTAAACCATCATCATGAAGCTCTCCATCTTCTCCATCCTCACCCTCGGCCTCGCCGCCGGCTCCCTCGCTGCGCCCACCGCAGTTCAGGAGCGCGACCTCCCCACCGTCACCGGCGTCCTCTCCAGCATCGGCACCAAGGTCGACGCCCTGGGCTCCGCCATCCAAGCTTACAACGGTGGCGACGTGGCCAAGGTCCAGCAAGCCTCCGACACTCTCGTGACGGCCATCAACAACGGCAACACCAAGGTCAGCAGCACGGCCGCCCTTAGCAGCGGCGACGCGCTGGGACTCCCCGGCCCCGTCAACGATCTCAAGGACAAGATCACCGCTGTCATCAACAAGCTCGACGGCAAGAAGAGTCTCATCGTCAAGGCCGGCAAGGGCGCGCAGACCTACAACGACCTGACCCAGCAGAAGGCTGCCGCCAAGAAGCTGTCCGACACGATCGTCTCTAAGGTCCCGGAGAACCTGCAGAGCCTGGCTGGCTCCATTGCTGGCGGTATCTCTGACGCCATCGACACCGGTGTGAAGGACTTTGCCGATCAGGCCCCCAAGGCTTCCAAGCGTGAGGAGGCGGCCCCTCTTGTTGATGCTGCTATTGCGGTTTAAGAAGATGCTTTGGGGAAGGGGTGTGGATCTGCTGCGCAGGTCGTACACAGTTGTTTGTGGTCTCGCTGGATACATTTGAAGTTATCGGGATAGCTATTGTGTGCGGAGGATCAATGTGGGGTGTTGAACTGCTTATAGTTGAATTCAATGTTGCTTATATTATAGCACTTTCCAGTGTAGCCTGATCTAGGAAGGGTTCGACGTAGCATACCTCGTATTCAATAGTACTCCGTTCATGTCTGCAAGAGAAACTATATAAATTGACTAGTAGGTAAGACTATCTTACGTTGATGTACATAAAGAGGTATTGCAACCAGCCAGTTAATCATCTTTAAGAAAAGAGTGAACGGTAAATCTATACTCTGATATCCGTTTCTCTACTAGTGATTCACACTATAAAGTTGTCCATTGTATAAGATGGTAAAATCACAACCGAAGAATTTCGGTGAATGTGAGTGGGACTTGATTCCGAGCAAGGAGCAGATGCTAGATCTAAGCCGTTGAACTGGACCAAATTGGGCCTGCGGTCCATGAGCGGGTCGTCGAAGTCTGAAAGGAGTATTTTATGAGATCAGAGATATTGGCAAGATGTTCATTAGATGGACTGTTTCCGGATTATGACAACATCTCGACGCGTCATTCAAAAAGAACCCACATGCGCAAGACGTATACTTGCTTGAACATAGGGTGCTAGAATTTACAGAATTGAAAATTAGCTGTGTAACAAGCTCACAAAGAACTGTCTCAGGCAGTATGCTACGTGCAGCATACAATTGACGGTGAGGCTCTGAAGGGATGCTCAGCAATCGATAATCAATGGCCAGGTCCAGGCAGCAAATGCTCTCGGCCGCCAGGTAACCACGTCTTTTACAATCTATGCATGGGGATGGGTATGGTGCAGTTGACGTATCACAGGGCAGGCACCAGGGAGCCGTTGCCTAACCGTTGCACTCCCTTGCGTCTCAAGCAAAGCTATATAGATCGCGCGGAACAACTCACAAACACCATCACGATCAGACTGAACTTTCAAGAGCAAGACCTCAAAAATCTATTCACTACGCAATCATTGGAAATCATTGATCGCCTCATCATGTCGTCGCCAGATTCAGATTCGACCCTGTTGGCCGGGGTGAAACAGCTCACGATTCGACGGCAAGAGGGTGGCAGGACGACCGACGCCGAGGATAGCGATAGTCGGCTTGCCCTGGCCATGGTCTGTCTGTTAGGGGAAGAGGACACCGTGTCCGATCTTCTAGCTAAACGGCGGAGGATCAGAGCCATGGA